CGGGCAACAGCAGAGGAAGCATTCGCCTGGGAGCCTTCGGGGACGCGGCAAGCATTGGCAGCGCACGGTGTTGGCCAGCCCCGGGGCCGCGTTCCCAAACGCAGGGCACGGCTCGCGAAGCTGCAGGCCTCTGGGGAGCACCAGGAATGTTTCTTGCGGGCAGAGGTGGTGACATTTGGGCCTTCCTTCCCCATGACATGACCTGTGTAGCAGTCCTGTGTTGCTTGGATGGGATCCCTGGGGGACACGCTTCAATATCTATCATCACCAAGCATCCCCAGCGCCACGCGGAGCACAGCTCCGGACCCGTCTTGTGCCAAGTGCAGTGCAAAGAGCATCCAGCTTCGAGCCCAGGTGCTAATGGCATCTGCCGCTCTCCCGTTTCTCTCTGTCTCCAGCTGCTTTGGGGCCTCAACCAGCTCCATGGCCCGCTCGGCATGGCGAGCGCTCAGGAAGGGGGAGAGGTGCCAGGTAGCTGCTGTCCCTTACCAAGCCCTGTAATTTCCTTCACATCTCACATCCCTCCCCATAACCGCTGGGCCCAACTGCTGACTCACGGCTTGCGGTTCCTTCAGCTCCTGCTAGGGCAGGATTACACCACCCCATATCACCACAAACACTCCTGGCCTCAGCTATTATTAACTCCAATGTAGCCCTTCGGTGGCATTTATCTCCTAAGTGATGGGTTTTAGCTTGTTGTAGGATGGTTTCGTCACTAGGCTCTGCCCCAGCACCGCGCCGACTGGGGAAGCGCTGAGTTCGCAGGGGCCTCTTGTCACCGGCGGGGGCCTGCAGGGACAGCCACACTCCTGGTCCTGGGACAGGGCCGAGAGCCCCCTCACAGGGCCCAGGGCTCCGGCTGGCACCTGAGAACATGAGAGACAGCGCTCCAAATCCCATCTCTTGCATCTCTTCCCCTGTGACTTTACCCAAGTCCCTTACCCACTGCCTCAGTTTCCCTCTGGACAGGGCGGGGTGCTGGGACAAACAAGGGCAACGTGGCCACGGTAGCTACCTGCAGAGGCGCCCAGTGATGAGACCTCCTTGAAGAGGGTGCAAGGTCCCCTGAAAAGACAGCTCTGCCTGGGTCATTGCTGGGATAAGCCCCCAAGACCCCAGGCAGCAGCACTAACCCTGGTCCCTGAGAGACACAACGCAGAGGATTTACAAGCTTGTTCCTGCCAACCAACCCCCAAACATCCTCCGCTTTGACTTGTCACGCGGAGAAACCTGAGCTCCAGGGCTAATGAGCCCCAGGGACATCCCTCTCCTCTGAAGAGCTCACCTGCTCCCCAGCATTTGGTACAAATCATCTCCTGCCAGTCTGCAGCATGTTGGCCCCAGTGGTTTCCTTTCCTCTCCTCTTGCTGCCACCACCAGCTGTGGTGGCTGCTCCAGAGCAACACTGGATGCCTTCAGGGCTCTCTTTTGCTCCTGTCTCCATCCTGGGCCTTGACCCACCTTCCCCTGCTGGAGATGTAAATCCCATTTACTGGTTGAACATGCCATGCGCGGTCACTAGATGGGCTGTCCTCCCTCGAGGCAGAGTGGTGGGACTGTGGTCAGTGTGACTGCCCAGAGAGGGGACATCATTTCAGATGGGGCGGCACCGCAGGGGACTCAGCAGGAGAGATGCTGCCTTGCCCCAAGGCTGCCTAGAAGCCCGCTGTCTCATCTGTCGACGAGGTCCCTGCAGGCAGCCAGGAGGTGTCCACCACCATCCCTGAGGTGGCCTGTCCAAAGGTGGTTCCAGCACTGCACCCATGGCTGGGTGCAGAGGTGAGGTGTCTGGAGGGTCTTGCTGTAGTGAGACGGGGATATGGGTTCCCGGCGTGACGTAGCTGGTGCAAAACGCACAGCGGGACGAGAGCGGAGGATGTTCGGGCTTCACCCTGTTCTGCTTTTGGCCCTGTGAGTGCCTCAGCACCATTTCCCAGGCTCAGGTACTGGCCATAAGTAGGTTAATGAAATCCCTGTCCAGCCCTGCTCAGCGCTACGCCAGCTGCGTCAGAGCTGGCCCAATCCCCTTTTGTTTTTCTTCAGGTTACTTGCAAAAATGCCCAGGCCATGGGGCACCCCTGGTGTGCTCAGCGCTGCTGGCATGAGATGCACAGCCAGGGCTGCTCTCCTAACCGCTGCATTAAGAGATTAGGCGTAAAATCATAAGACTCCTAAGATGGTAATTTATGTGTTTTCTAGTTCTCTCTTTTTTTTTCCCCTCATTTTTTGGGCTTGTTCTTCTAGCCACAAAAGCTAATAAACTGAAGTTGCATTTTTTTTTTTAGTGCAAAAGCAGCAAGTCTCATATAACAACCTGATCCCAAAGACTAGGAATTTAAAAAAAAAAAAAAACAAAAAAAACTTGGCACATCAAGTACAGTGAGACTGAAGATAAACTCTGCAGCATGGGAAAGAGCTGCCTGTGGCTGGGCTGGGCTGTGACCTCCAGGGACCATGGTGCCAAGGGAGGTGAAACAGTGCATCCGAATGCCCCAGACGTCTGCGGCAGAGCATCATTCCTCCCCGCGCCGGGAAAGATTACTCAGGCTTTCAGATCTGTACTCCAGTAACCTCCTTCCCACTCTATGCACCGCAGGAGCAAGCCACCCATTTTTTTTTTTCCTTGCTGTTCTCTCTGCTAATACGTGCAAGAATGTGCACGCAGGAAACTTCATATTGATAAAGATGCACACAAACTATGCTTCGATTTTCCCTGGGCTCTCTGCTTGTCTAAGCAGTAAGGATTTGGGCTTTTCTTGCTGATCTCCTGTCCATGCTGTCCTGGGGCTCTGTCTTTTCTCTGAATCCCTCTGTTTCCCAGCATCTTCCTGGAGAGAGGATGCCCCAAACTGAGCTCAGTTGCTGACAGGTACCACCGCACATTACTGTCATGTTGGTGATGTTGCCTTAACATTGCTAGTATGTGCCACACATGCAGAGGTTCACATAAAAGAGCTACCATCCCTCCTAACTCCTCCGGTCCCAGCACACAAACACACACATACAAATTCCTCTACATCTGACCCTGTCCCACCTTTGCCTACCCAGCCTCAAAAGGCAACCGGGGGAACTCAACTCTTCTAGCAGGCTACCTTGTTTCCCACGCTATCAGCTGACAGCTCAGTTAGGCAGCAAATCTAAGGCTCATTTTATTCTTGGGAATTTACCAAAGTCTGGGATTCTTTAGTTACCCCCCCGCCCCAGTCCCCGTGAGTCAGGCCTCGAAAACAATGAGATGGATTTATAAACTGGAAGATGAAAAAGCCTGCACCATTTTGGGAGTGCAATATGTCTTTTCTAAAGTATCTAAGAGACACCTGGATCACTTTTTTAGCTTCTCCTCCACACCTGAGACACTGGAGATTTTTTTAAAATGCAAGCTGTATTCCTTCAGTAATCACCCAATGCCAGAAATCATGGGGTTCAAAGAAAAGCATCAAAAAAACGTGAGAAAAATGAAATGATAGCAACACTAGCACGAATACACCCCATGCCCTTAAAATGACAGGGATACAGTAAGTAAGTACCTGCCCTGCAAACTCCCCCAGCACATTCGCTGCCTGTTTACTGCTGAGAGAGCCAAAGGCACACCCCACTGCTTCCAGTACAAACCAGAACATGCCAAATACAATTTAGGTAGAGAATATAAACCTGCTGCACCCAGGGACAGAATAACACACTGAACTGCAACATCTCGAAGCCACATCATCTTTGAGAATCCCTCCTGGCCCCAAATCAGTCAAAGCACAACGGGGTTGAGCGATGCTTTGTAGCTGGGAAACACGCCGAGGTTTCAGTTTGCTAGCTTCCCCTTCGAGCAATTTTCACGGGAAATCGCAGGCCCTGGGAGAGCAGAAACTCGTGGGATTTTGGAAAATAATCGGCAACGTAAGCGCTAAATGCCTGACTAGGGCAAATCCGGCTTTAAGCAAGCACCAGCGCTCCGGGCTGTAAGACCTACCCCAGACGCCAGCAGCGCAGAGCACGACCACGGGGATCCCGAGAGCCAGGCAGAGTTTTCCCATCTTCTTCTGCGAGCCCTGCGCACGGGGGGGTTGCTCACAACAGCCCCACTGGCAGGGATGGAGAGCAGCTCTGAGCGGCTGGAGCTTTTCAGCAGTCTGATGGATGAATCAAGAGCTGGGGTGTATTGCACACGTGGAGCGGGGCTGTTTGGAGGAAACAGCGCTGGCTCAGCATGGTTTTGAGTCAGTGAGTGCCCCCGCCTGGGAGCTCCTCAGACTTTTTCGCTCTCTCAGTTCAGCCAAGGACCGCATAAACCCAGTGTGGGACCTACAGCCCCAGGGATGACGACAGCCTTTCCCTCAGGCTCTTTAGCCTATGAGTAATTCCTTGCTAAATCTTACTCACTTGCAAGGAAGGCAACCTGGATTTTAACCCTGCCAAGTCTGAGCTGCCTCGGATTTCAAGGAGTGGGGGAGAAAGAGTCGAGCTATGTGTGTATTTGAAAGTGCAGGTTCTCAGCTACCCTCTCCAGAGCACCGGTGGGAATGGGAACATCTCCACCAAAACTAGAGCCGGGATCTAAGCGAGACCCAGGGAAGGAAGAAAGAATCGGACCTGGTGTTTGAAGTCAGCTGCTCTTCAGGAGTTTGGATTTCAACCCAGACATCCTAAAGGGGAGGGATGTTCAGATCTGGGTCTGATAATTTGGGCCTGATTCTCTTCTCACGTGTGCTGGTTCTTCCCCCATGTCCTCCTGAACTGCTCCTGTACCACAGCACATACAGGAGGTGAGACCTGCACATAGAGTCCCCGCTGAAACGGCTGAGCTGCTTTGTTAGCACCCTCCAAATAGGTTTTGTAATCCTGATCTCATTTCCCTGCAGTACCATAGTCCTACTCAGAGAGGGGGAAACTGAGGCACAGATGTAAGGAGCTCAGTTTCAGACATGCTGGGCCGTGAGGGAGGCTGTGCGAGGGCTCCTCATGTCCCTTCAGGGACCCCTGGCTCTCCTCTGGTCAGGCCACAGAGCCCCTGAGAGAAGGCTGAGTTACGCCGATCCAGCATGATGTGCTGGGAGGCAAACTGGGGGCTGTGCTGCGGAGCCAGCTGCTGCTGGGAGGAAAAGCCAGAGCTGCTGCTGGGGCTGCTTCAGTCCAGTTCAGTCAAATCACAGCTGGAGGAGTGAAAAGGGAGGGAAGGGCTGTTTCCCTGGAGCCCTGGGCTGCTCCCCCTGCCAAGCGACCTGGGTTGGGGGCAACAATGACATACCTCTGGGCCGGGATGATCCTGGAGACCTCAGCCCATCTCGGAGGAGAGGCAGGCAGTGCAAAATGAGTTTGTGTAGGAGCTGGGCTGGTCAGGCCTTGAGTACGAGACCTGTAGCCTTAACCGCAGCCTGGCATGCAGGAACCCGCAGGGTAATGTTTAAGGTGCTGGGAGAAATGAGAATAACTGCTCTGATCCTGGCTGATGTGGCTCTGATGGTGTTTCCAAGGGTGAGCTGGAGATGAGGATCCTGCCTCAGGAGGCAGGGACTCTTCTTGGCTTTAAAAGAGGAACTTTTGATGCCTCTTTGTTTTCCCTGCTTGAGTCCTGCTTTGCCTGCGGGGTGCTGCTGCCCTCCTGTGGCTATGTGGGCTCTGCTCCGTGGAGGGGCATCACCTGCCGGGGATGCCATGGGTACCTGGGAAGGTGGTGGAAGTAGGCTGTGCTCCTGAGAAAGCCGCCCTTGGAGCGGCGTCTGGCAGGACAGCCAGGCAAGCTGCAGCTTTCTGCAGCCACATGACTCGTGCACACTAACATGGTTGTTTTCTGCTTGAGATCCATCCCCTGTGAGGATAGGTTAAAAATGATTTGGTAAAAGGAGTCTAAAGGAAAGCCATCCACCCTTGTGCACTCTCAAAAAAGGGCTGCACCTTGCTTGGGAAATCAAAAACACCCCAAAACTGCTTTGCAGGAGACTGTAGATCTTGCTCTGCTCCAGTTCCTGCAGCCATCTCAGACCACAGACCCCATCAGCCAGTTTTAGGGCCAATCTTGCTGCTTTTCCTGCACATCTTCCTCTCCCTGTCTGCAAATGCCACCTGTGTGGCCCTCTGTAGTTCTGCGGGGCTTTCTGCCCATGCAGTAGCTTGTTCCTGCTCCAAAGAGGACACACAGCCTGCTGTGTCCTCCTCGTCCTGCCTCTGAGGCCAGCGTTAGCTGGGAATGTCATGACAGAGCACAATACTCCAACCCTTGCTTCCAGCATGGAGCAGAAACTAAGAAAAAGAGAGAAAAAGTGGGCAGGTGAAGTATTTGGCCTGCCTGGGCTCTGCTGGGCTCTCGTTCTGCCAGGGTACAAGGAGGTACAGAAATCCACAGAAAGTGCTGTGAATCCGGCAGTCATCACCGTAATGTTAACTCTGTGTACCACACATGCTTGTGCAGTGGCACACAGTGCAGAGTGTCATCGCTGTCCTCTTTCCTCTGAGGGCTGGATATGGCCTGGAGAGTTGGAGAGAAGCTGAACCTGGAAGAATAAATTGGGAAATGCTCTGGTTTTTGAAGTATCTGGCCATGTAATGGCTAGGAGCAGCCAAGGGAGTATTTACCAGCTGAGCTGCTCCATGTCCCTGGTTGTCCCAGCATGGCAGGCTGTTAGCTGGGGCCAGAGAAGTGATGGCGCACTCAGCGTGAATCCATGCTCAGGCATGCAGGGAAACAGGCAGGAGAGGCTGAAGCTGAAGCCACCAGAGGGAGCAGAAACTCCATCAGTCGGGGAGAGAGCGAGGAGGAGGAGAGGAGATCCTGCCTGGGCTCTGCACCCCAAGAGTGCACTGGGCATCTGGGATGCTCTGGTTTCCCACAGGGATTTTTCCTGGCCATCATGTTAAATATGGACAGACACCCTTGTTGGATCAAGGCTTTCCTCTTCCATTCTGCAGTTCTCCTGGTACAAATGAGATCTCACAGATCAGGCAGCCCTTGGAGGAGAAAAGAGCCGCATGCAAAACAAGCAGGAAAAAGCAAGAGGTAAACCCAAACCAAACAGCTTTTGGGCCCCTAACTGTCACAAAAGTGAAATGGAGAAAGTGGTCCAGGTCCCTTAAAAAGAAAGCCCATTGACGCTGTGTGCATCAAGCCACCCTTCATCCTCAGCCGGCCTTCCTCACACTCCTCCATTCAGCTGCAGTTATCAGTTCTTATTTAGCTTTATTAAAAATCTCCTCTGAGGGAAGTGCCCTCCAGACATATTTCTAGGCCCTTTGGGGACACTGTTAACAGGTAAATACAGCAGCCTCTGGGGTCAGTGGTTTCTTCAAAGAAAGCCTTACCCTGGTGAGTGGGGGGCAAACAGGGGAAATGCAGCCAGAGTGAGCACATGGGATAGGTGGTAGGAGCTGGGATGCTGGGAGCTAATTGGATTTTTGAGGTCTGAACAACAATGTAGAATGAGGATTGTGGTTGCTACCACTGCCCTCATTCGTGTCTGCACTGGTGGGAGGCAGGGTCCTGATGGACCCAGACCCTCAGCTGCCCTGGGCGAGACTGTGGCTGAGCAAAGCCTGGATAGTCCAGCCCTGCCCTGGCTCTCTCCAAGGCAAAGGTCCAGGGCAGGCAGGGTAGGGACTGCGCCTGGACATGGCTGGGCACTCTCTGACTCTCATTGTGCTTTGGGGCCTTATGCAGACAAGGAGAGGGAAGCGGCTGCCAAAACTTCCCCTGGGATTAACTTGGTGGGGCTGAGGGGACCCAAGGGAAAAGGCAGGACTGGGATGCTCCAGCCTGGGGCCAGCGGTGATGCTGCTGTAAGACCCAGAGGTGGGACAGGTAAGGGGCACCCGGGGGACTCCAGTATCTCAGTGTCCTCTTCGAAGGGGTTAAGGAAGCAGGAGGAGGAGACACATCCCCTCTCCTGCCCTGCTCCAGGCTCAGAGTGGGGACAAAGGTACCTGGGGAGGAAAACCCCAGCTAGAGCAGTAAAAGGATGCTAAAAGGGTGTGTGAGAGAGGGGGATGGATCCAGCTCCCATCCAGAGGGATAGGACAAGCATCGCTGAGCAGGGCTGGGGGTGGACTGGGCTGGATTGGGCCAGCGCTGCTCTGAGAAAGGAGTGGGTGGCACAGAGCAGCAACCAGGATCGGTGAGAGCAGCACTGACCTGAGGCTCCCAGGAGTGTGCATGGTGGGGGGAGAGGCCGGGGACATGAAGCTGCCAGTGGTCCAGGGCCAACACAGACCTTGCAGGCTGGAGTTGGGAGCAGGTGAAGGGGGTGGGAGCAGGGATGGGTTAGGTGCTGCTTAGCAGGGCCTTAGGGGTCAGCCCCCACTTGGGGGTGGCGCAGCGGTGGGTGAGGGCACCCTTGGCAGTGCAGGAGGGGTGCATGTGTGTGGGGAGGGGGTGGGCAGCCTGGGTGAGTGTGGAGGGGGAGGAAGGCGGACCGGGCTTGGGGTGG